CTTTAGAGAGCTCGGGTTCTTAGGGAGCTCAGACCGTTAACAGGGAGCTCGCTCTTAACAGGGAGCTCGGGCTCCTAGTAGGGAGCTCGGACTTAGGGAGCTCGGGTTCTTAGGGAGCTCGGACCTTTAACAGGGAGCTCGCTCTTAACAGGGAGCTCGGGCTCCTAGTAGGGAGCTCGGACTTAGGGAGCTCGGACCGTTAACAGGAAGCTCGCTCTTAACAGGGAGCTCGGGCTCCTAATAGCGAGCTTGGACTTTGCTCTCGGTACTTGCTTTGGGCGCTCTACTGTTCCGAGTTGCTTGTTTCTACCACGTGTCAAGTAACTGTAAGGTCGGGCCAAATTCCCCTAGTATAAACTGAAGCTGAGGCTGTTTTCGAACACCCTTTACAGTCTTTATTGAAAATATTTCTTCAATACTTATATACTTTATTTCATGTGGAGATATTTTCAATGCAAAATTGGAAGAGGCTGTTTTCGGACGGTGTAATTTGCAATCGTTGAAGCCGACGTCTGTAAACTGAATATTTAAAAAGAAAATTACTTTTGATTTAGTTAAGAGGTAAGACAGGGTGAATGTAAAATGATTTCTTCGTCTAAAAATATTAAAAAAGAGTATAGGTCGCGTGGATTCATTAATCGCTATTTATTGAATGACACGTGCAAGAGAAGAGAGAGATTAATTGGGTGCAGAGAGATAAAAAAGTGAAATAAATGGAGTGAAATTTGTGGGAGGATGCCTAGACGTGAAGCCATAAAAAATGGCATCGGCGTTTCTTATTTAAATGGTAAAGATATTTATTGTACAGTGCAATTAGAGTGAGGAACTGAGGATGCCTGACAGGTTCATCGAACTTCAACACCTTCAATTATTAATAAACTAAGCCAATCCACGGCCCACGCCATTTTGTGATGCCGACTTAAGCCGAACCAAAATCAACCTGGCTCATTTAAGACGGAGAATAATAAATGATTATTATATATATATAGGTAAAAGATAAAATTGAAGAAAAAGTTAAAAATTAAACAATCAATAAATACAAGGCAAAAGAGAGTGGGAAAGCTTGAGCTCACTCTTCCGAGTCTTCTCTTCTCTTCTCTCAGAGCCCAAACCTAGCCCTGAAATAGAGGAAGGCAGCAGGGGCGAAAAGCAGTTTAATGTTTACCCACCTCCTCTGAACTCTCTCTCTCTCTCTCTAGCCCCATCAATGACTTAACTTTTGTTGATTTTCTTCTCCTGTTTTCAAAAACCATTTGTTTTCTCTTGTTCTCTCTGTTTTGTTTGAAAACCACACCACAAAGGGTAGCAGAGAAACCCATTATGGGCTTTCTGTAATTCATCTTCTCTGTTGCAGTTGCTTTGTTACTCAGATCTATCAGCTTTCCTTCTCTTCCGATTGTCTAGAATTCTCTGGTTATTCTTCTTGAGTGGAAGGGATGAGTAAAGAAGAGTTCTTGAAGATCCAGGTACGCTATTTTATTTTTCCTTTTTTCTTTTTGATGGGCAGTGCTTGTTCTGAACTCAAGCTCTTTGTGTTCTTTCTTTCTGTTGCTTTATCTCTTGGCATAATCTTCTTCTATTTGCAAGTGAAAATTAAAACTGCTCCTGTTCACCAGCTTTATTTTCCCTTGATTTTCTTTTTGTTTACTCCATTCTTCTTTTCTGTCACTTGTCCTTGCAGACTTGTGTTCTTAAGGTAAACATTCACTGTGATGGATGTAAGCGGAAGGTGAAGAAACTGATGCAGAAAATTGATGGTATATTTTCCTTTCAATAACTCTCTTTAGCTAAAAATTAAACACGTAATGCTTATAGGTTGGAAGTATATAGAGGAAAAAAAATCGTTTTCCCGCTGATTTCTCTAGTCGGTTGTTCGGATTTTGTTTGCTATCTTTAAAGTATTTTTTGTTGATTTCTTTTTTTTTTTTTTTCTAATCTTGTTCTTTCGTCTTCATCTTCAGGGGTGTATACTACCACAATAGACGCAGAACAGGGGAAGGTAACAGTCTCAGGAAATGTTGACCCAGCAACACTCATAAAAAAGCTTGCGAAATCAGGGAAACATGCAGAGCTCTGGGGTGCGCCAAAGGCTTCAAATAATAACCAGAACCAGCTCAACAATCAATTCAAGAACATGCAAATTGAGAATGGCAAAGGCGGCAAGGACAACAAGAATCAAAAGGGTGGAAAGGACCAGCAAAAGGGTGGTCAGCAACCACAGCAACAGCAGCAGCAGCTTCTACAACAACTGCAACAGATGAAAGGACTGAAGGATCTGAAGCTCCCCCAACAATTCAAAGACCTGAAGATACCTTTCAAGGACCCGAAATCTGTGAAGTTCGATCTGCCTGAGGATGACGATTTCAGTGATGACGATGGTTTTGATGATTTTGATGACGATGATTTTGATGATGACGAGTTCGATGATTATTTTGATGATCCAAATATTCCTCTGAACAAGTTGAAACCCATGATGGGTAATGGCCTCGGGCCACATGGACTTAATGGGATGATGAATGGCAATCTACAATTCATGAATGCCCAGGCCATGAATGGTAAGAAGGGTGTTGGTGGCGGCGGCGGCGGCGTCGGCGTCGGCGTCGGCGGTAATGGCAACAAAGGCAGTGGTGGAGACGTTAATGTGCAAGTGAAGGGAGTGGGTGGAAACAATGACGGCAAGAATGGCAATGGAGGGAAGAAGGGAGGAGGCGGTGGAAATAACAGTAACGGAGGCAATCAAAATCAAGGTGGTGGATCTGTTAAAAATGGAGGTAAAAGTGGTGGTGGGCCGCCACAAGATGCTAAAAATGGTAATAGTGGTGGTGGGGGAAATAACAAGGCCGGCCATAACGGCAATGGTGGTGGTGGTGGGAATAATGCCAACGGAGGCAAGAAAGGAGGGGGGAAGAACGAGGGGGTTCAAGTAATGAATAACATGCATCATGGGTTTCATAACATCAATTTCAATCGTGTTGGTGGGAATATGGGTCAGATGGGTCAGATGCCCATGGCTCAGATGGGCAATATTCCGGCAGTTCAAGGGCTACCGGCGGCAGCAATGAATGCCGGTGGTGGAGGATACTTCCAAGGGGCAGGGCCCGAGATGCTAGCCGGAAACCCATACCAACAACAGTACTTAGCGGCCATGATGATGAATCAGCAACATGCGAATGGGAACGAGAGATTTCATCCCATGATGTATGCAAGACCTCCACCGGCGGTTACTTACTGGCCGCAGCCACCGATGGCTGACCCCTACACTCACTTCTTCAGTGATGAGAACACGAGCAGTTGCAATATCATGTGAATTGTAGTTCTGTTTTGTTTTGTTTTGTCTGTTGAGGCTGCTGGGGCGGTGGAGGTGGTGGGTGGTTGCTTCTCATCTTCATCAGCTACCTACCTATACATGGACAAGAGAAGAGAAGAGAAGAGAAGATGATCTGGTGCATGATACACATCCAAAAAAAAGTGTCAATTTCAGTTTCATTTTTCTTTTTCAATCTTCATCTTCCATCTTAGGTTGAAATTAGGTTTTCTATTGTCATCATAATATATAAGTCTATATATAATTATATATGTTAAAGATGAGGGAGAGTTGAAGCTATTTGAAGATGGGGGAGTTGTTAATTGACTCTATAAAAAATGATGGGAGAAGAACGAGGGCTGTAGCTTTCTTGTGAGATGTGTTTATATATGTTTATAGGTTGGAAAAGAATAAGAAAAATGATAATGGGCAGAAAAGCCTATTCCCATTCCAATGCTATTCCTCAATATTTCCAGTTTACTTGTTTTTTTTTTTGTACAATAATTAATAAATTGGCAATTTTGGTTGAATTTTCATTGAAGAGTTGATTGATCCTTGATGTTATTTGTCAAAACTTATAAGCGCGTGTCTTGTGTTCTCCATGATGTAATGGTGGTGGCGGTGGTGGAAAACTGCTGTTGATCATGGTGGTGGGGGTTCGGCTCGGCTCAGCTCAGCTCAGCTCATCTCAGCTCAGGTCCATCCATCAAAGAGCAAGAGCAGAGCACCACCAATACTATTTGCCTAATTGGTGGTTCCATCATTTTCATTCCGTAATGTGTGATAGGTTAGGCCCTCCACCGATCCCAAGTCCCAACTCTCTCCAGTGTCCATTTAAAGTGTATTATTTTTTGGTAATGGGTGATTGGCCCACAAGTAGTTAAATAAGTCAATCTTAAATTGATGGGCTCGTGGGGACAATAGATGGAGTTTTGTGGTGACTGGTGACCCCCTGTATGTAAGCTGTAATATTATTATTATATCATTAAGCGTAATAAAAGTGGGTTGTTTGCTAAATCGAGACATTTCAATTTTCAATTCAATTGCGGAGGAGGAGCCCGCCACTGCCCCCACTGGGATTCTCTTTCGCTATCAAAATTCAAAGCGGAAACAAAGAGGGAGATGGGACTTTGGAGGGGAATCCCAGGATTTGTCGACGAGGACAACCTAACTACTACATCAAGAAAATCTAACGGCTTGACATTTGACACGAAATTGGCGGGTTCTGGTCTAAAGAATTTAAACGATTATTATTATTATTATTATTATTATTATTTTGTGTAAACTTATTACAAAGACCCCATATAATATTGGGTGAGTTACAAATACCCTGTAAACTTCTTCATTGTAATTGTGACAGACCTTAACTTATTAGTGTTCCATAATTAACAAAGGTTTTTATTTGACTGTGTAAAGCTTTTTAAATTCTTGAAATTATCCTTTTATTATTTGCTTTGATGGTTTTACCTTTTTCACTTTAATATATAATTTAATAATTTTTTTAAATATTTATTTTCATATTATTAAAATACTTGGCATGACATACGTGTACATAGGATATTATTCTTTGGCGACGGTGTATAATATGTAAATGATTTTTTTTTTTTTATATTGTCAAATATTTTTAATAGCAAAACATACACAACTCTTCGCCCATGAGATAGTGATAATGACAACTTACAGCAAAGAGCAATATAAGGTCCTCGTCAAATGGTTTCGATGACTGACGACGACATAAGGGTTTAGGAAATGAGAAAAGAATAGACAAAAAGGAGAAATGGATTTGCACATTTTTATCATTTTGAAAATTTCGTTTCATCTCGCTTGAATTAGGGTATTTGACTATTTGCCAATGACTAGGGGTATTTGACTATTTTCATACGCAATTCGCACACAGCCAGTAATAAGCGATTCGGATATTCTTTAAATTTCCCACACGATCGATGTGAACGTGATATGGTCATCAAAATTCAAAACCATGTATCTAATGAATGGGACTCGCCGGGACCCAGTAGTTTTCAAAATGCAAAAGCGCCTGAGGCCTAACTATAACATGTTAGGCTGCCAAAGTCACGTGCGTCGAAAGGTTCTGATTAGATTATTATATCTATCATTAGAGAAGGAGTAATATTTAATAATGGCGGATAACTAATAACTTCGATGTGTAGCTGAGCTTTTTACTTTTTTTTTTTTTTTGTTTGATAGATGTATGTAGTAGACTACTACTAATAGTAGTGACTAGTTGAGCTTGAGCGAGCATCTGAAGGAGCATACACGGTGCGTCATACGTGTACACATTAATCCCTATTTGGAATTGGAAAGTGGTGGTCCGTCCACACTCCACACATGCGAGATGCGACACTAGGGCGGACCAGATATTATCCCAGAGGACAGTTTTACCCTTGAATGAACATGAAAGTTATTGAGTATTGATGGACCTCTCTGCCTCTGGGGAGTGGGGACACCAACGCGGATGAGGATCTGCCGATCTGGATTCTGGACAGAAACAGGGGACAAGGGACAGGCGACAGCCCAACTAAGCTTTTTTTAAATTAGCTAAAATGCAGTTGGAAATAATGCTGCCCTGCTGGAACCAGTGTGAATGTGAATGTGAATGCATGGCTCCGGCGGGAGGAGAGAGGGATGCCGTCTGGCAACATCTGCTGCAACTGAATGCAATGCACAATCAGACAAAATGCAGCAAAAGTGCAAAAGCAAAATAATTCCGGTTGAGCAGCCGGCCAGGGTTACCGCTGGTCGTCGCCTGCCTCTCTACCAAAAATTTAAAATTGTTCATACACTTACGACTTACCCAATAAATTGCCATTGCCGACACATTTACTTAATACTACTACTAATCGGGTGCAATAACATAACAAGCAACAAGTTGAAATGAAGAGTGATGGGAGCCCTTGGTTTTTTGCTAAGGTGTAATTAATAAGTGATAAATGCACCCCAGCTTTCTGTATTATCAACTGGTCCCACATCTTATTTAACACTTTACAGGTTCAGTAATGACTAATGAGAAACGTTACCCTTTTCCGGCATTTCTCACTTTCTCAGGATTAGGGAACCTCGTCTTACACTGCAAGCAAAAGGTTTTGGAATCAAACATCTGACGGCTGGGATCATGTAATCATCATTTTGTCTATTAACAGGCAGCAGAGAGCAGAAGCCCCCATGATCTGGTTTGCATAAAGGATCCGCACAAAGATCCAAACGTGTGCAGAGGCCGAGAGAACGTAGGTCCCACCAGTTTCTTTGTTTGGTCTTCTCCCCTGACTGTTGCATCACGCATGTGACGCGGCCCCACCACTTCAAGTCGCAACGTAAAAGCGCAAGGCGGCACCACCGGAACCGGAACGGAGGGGACAATTGACAAACATCTATCTCTTATCTGTAACGCTGTAACAACCAAATAGAAAACACAGAGAGAGAGAGAGAGAGAGAGAGAGTTTGGGTCGAGGATACCATAGTCCATAGCATATCGGATATGATATTAGCAACGTGGGAAGTGGGAAGTGGACTGGATTGTAAGTTGAAAGTTGAAACCCAACAAATTTAAAACAAATCACCCACCATCTCTAGAAGCGCGCGAAAGCTAAAAATCTCTCTCAAACCCCTCCCGTAGACCCCGTACTCGTCTGGTATTTCCTACTAACCATTAACCCACCCCAGTCCCCCGTGTATTTCACCGGTAAGCGGTAATCCTCCTAAATGACCATATTACCCTTTTTTGTCAATGGATGATGGGTGTTCCACACTTCCACCTCGACCTCACTATCTGTGCCAGTGGACAGTGGTGTCTCTTCCTCTCTTTTTCTCTCGCTCGTCCCAACTGTTTGTGCCCGTTGAAATGTTTGACTATAGGCACAGTAGCTGTCACTAGAGAGAAAAACGGGGGTGATGAAATTAATGGGGAATGTGACTTGAGTCCTAACCTCTAAGTCTATAAGTCGTGCAAATATTTCTCTTCTTGGGTATGGGCCTTGGGATTCGATCATCAAGTCCGCTAGATCTCTCTATCTCTCACGGTCAATAAATGCACCACAGTATCACCCAATACAATACAACCGTAGTACTTGTGTGTCGAATATCATGGTGGTGCTGCACCTGCACTTGATAACCATTTGATCTTGAAGCACACCACAGTGGAAGTGTGGAGTCTGGACAATCATTGCATCATTTGAGGTTTAAAAGGATAACATGGGGTTGGGGAATTGGGGCCCACATTTTATTAAAAAGAAATGGGGTATGGATGGATGCAATAAGAGAAGGGGGGCCCCACTTTAATCACTCTGGACATGCAGTAGTGCTGTACAAGCGAACCCGATATCAGGAACAGGATCTTCTTCAACCTTGAATCTGTTAGCTGGATTTGACAGAACCAGAATCCAGAATAGGACTATTTTCCTTTTCTTTAGTCGAGTGACTTGACATTTGGTGCACGTCTCTGGCTCTTCATCAGGCCGTAGCTTACCACTTACCAGTTACCAGCTTTGATATTTTTGATATTTTCAGTAGTACTGATAAAATGATCCAAGGTGGGGGAAAGGTCGAGAGGGGAATATGACATAACAGCCTGTTCATCCGTGAAGCAATTATATATTCTATATTGAATTCATCATTCCTGTGTGAGTTGTGACCCATTTATTAAATTGTCAAACGCTTGAATGCTTCTCATGATCTCATCTTCCCCACGGGAGCAGCATCTATATATGTAATTATATTTTAAGAGAAAAGGCCTGAAGGGTGTTTACATAACTAAGCACAAGTAGCAGATGGTGAGAGCAGATCTCCAAATTCATTCCATTCCTTGTTTGAACCTAAAAAAAGTATTTAGCTCTTTGAGAGGTCAAACAAATTAAATGAGTGGGCGCATTGGGCCACTGGTTTGGTGTCAAGTGCACTTCAATTGACCATGTGACAGAAATTTGTAATAAAAATCCCTAAGCTAGCTAAGGGATACTTACATTGGCCATGTGACAGAAAATTGTAAGTTAGCATATACTGTGTCTGTATTATTTATGTACTAGTATAATTAAACAGTAACAGATTTGCTAGTTTGGTCAGTAACAAATAGACCCAGACAGCCCAAATCTCTTGGTTGTGAGTTTGTGACAGATGGCTTCATAATTCCTCCAAATCACCTACTATTCATGAGGCAAGCACATTCAGATATTTCAGCCCATTGCATGATGATGAAACAAAATCCCCCATTGTACTATATGTAAGGGCTATAAATTACTGTAAATAAAGGGGGACATGGGTTTGGGTCCAATAATACATAATAATATGAACAGAGCAAATGGTTTGGAGAACTAGATAAAATTACTTTGATACCGACTACAAAAAATGTTTTACTTGAGATCCGAACCCTGTTGTATTTTAATAGAAAACGTATTAAGTACTTGATCAATCTTTAATTGTTTGACCGTAAATTTTCATTTTTTTGGGATAATCCTAGATGCGATG